CATCTAATGCAGGTGTTCACCCATGCAGGGTGTTCATCCCATGCAGGGTGTTCATCCCATGCAGGGTGTTCATCCCATGCAGGGTGTTCCCATTACCTGTGCCTCCAGAGTCAGGCTGCAGGCTCTGCCTGACCGTGTACTGGATAAGGAGATATTTTTATTAGATGAAATATGATTGTATTTGGAGAATACACAAAAGACTTGAGGGCTATTCCACAAAGCAGGATTTCCCAGTTAGCTGGATAACTTAAGCCAACCATGAAAACTGGCCAATAGGAAGAGAGGTAACAGACATTCCTATTGGACAATCCTTACATTTGGCATAAGCCTGGCTAATGAAGAAATCCTGCTTTGTGGAATAACCCCCCAGGTAGGTACTTCATTTACGCTGTGTGTTTGTAGTTAACCTAAAGTACATATAAAATATGAAGTGTTTCCTAGTTGCGGAAGCTCTTTCAAGTGGATGTTTGTCTTTGTCCTTCTGCTACATGAAGCAACTTTCAGGCCTGTGGTACCACAACCGCACCGCGCACCTCGACGTGCTTGGGGCCCAGGGCAGCCGGGGCCTCAAGTCCCTCTTCCAGTGTCCGGCCTGCAGCAGGGCCTTTTCCAGCAGCGCCACCCTGCTCAAGCACCAGCGTGCCGAGCACCCAGGTAGGCCTCTTTCTCGGCCACTAGGCCACCGTGCCGTTTCTGCAGCCCAACGGGGCTCCTCTGTGTTTATTGCCATCTGCAGACTCCTCTTCTATCCACCAGAGGGCGTGCTTGAATGTGAGGAATGCAAGGATACTTTCCCGGATCTGGACGCACTGGTGGCCCATAAGAAGGAGAAGCACTCGGGTAAACGGCGCATTTCAGGGGGGAGAGGCTGACGCTGGCATGGGGGTGGGATCTATCTGATACGGGAGGAGGTGATTGGAGGAAATGCGGGAGGGGTTTATAACATGGGTGGGGCTTATCGCATGCTGTGGAAAGGGATTAGACTTCACAGGGGCCTTATATTGCACTATGGGATGGAATCTGTGTAGTGCAATAGTAAAAGCACATCTGTGATACACGCACTGCTAACCATGTGCCTTTGTCTATTACGTTGGTGTACAGAGTTCCACCAGTGCCCGTACTGCCCCAGCTCTCACACCTCTGCGGCCGACTTGCAGCAGCATCTCTGCGCTCAGCACTTCAGCCAGGAGGGGGAGCTGTTTGGCTGTGCACACTGCGACCTGCTCTTCCCCTCACAGCTGGAGCTACAGGAGCACTTTCTCTCTCACCACACTGAGGCGCTGTCTGACGAATCCCAGGTCTCCGCCACCCAAATGGTAACCCACGATCCTAGTTTCGTAGCCTCGTGAACTTCAGTTCCCAGTAGTTTTCTTAAGTGCTTCTGGGATAGCAGAGAGTGCTAAGTCTAGTATTAGCTTCTACTACAAGTGAACCATAACAGTGTGTCTGGTTTCACTGCTTGGGCTGATCCTCCCATCTTACTTAAAGTTTCACATGTGACTTCTGTGTTGAAGCTAATGAAAATTCAGTGGAGACGTTTCTCACCTGTGCAGGTAATCCAGGCTGAGGAGGCCCCCAGTGGCCAGCAGCAGGTAATCGCCCTGGACCAATCACAGCTTAGCGGCTCCCAGGTCTACGTGGCGCTGACAGACACAGAAGGTGGAGCAGCAGGCTCTGAGATAGTGGCAGTCAACATGGAGGATCTGCTGGACGGCACGGTCACCTTCATCTGCGGGGAGAGCCAGTGAGCTTGGCCGCTTGGTTTCCCCGGCACTTCTCATTGGTGGGGAGGTGTGTCAATCTACCCACTGTGTCACTGGTCATTGGTGAATTGGACGGGTGCTCTGTTCTTTCCCGCCCCCATAATATATGCGCAGTAAAGCTGACTGACTGTAGAAAGCCGCTGCAGCTCATATCCGTTTTCCGCCCACCACTGTTTCCCTGGTTTGTGCTCATGCTCCCAGGGAAGGGTGTGGACATCAAGGGCCCAAGTATGACCTCTGACCCCCACAGGTGACGTCGGCCTCTGATTCTGTGAAACTCCCGACTGCTTTTCTCTGCTGGACCCACACATCCATTCTCACCACCCAACCATCCCATTATTTATTAATTTGCATTTTAATGCATCTGTGACCTTTCTATGAGAATTTAAATAAATATGACTAATTTAAATAACACTGTCTGTCCAGTTCTGTGCCGAAGTCTCCCTGACCACTGCAACTGAAGGTCTGGTTATGCTGACATGCTGTTGCACAGTCAAATCACTAGGTGGTGCTGTGTCCCTGAAACTCAACTATAGCAAACAAAAACCATCCTAAAGACATTCTACCTGATACTTCCTTCCACTAAAATCAACAATTGCAACAGAAGAGTATTTTAGCCTGACATAACTCACTGTATTCATTGCATTATTTTGTAGTCTTTTTATTTACACTTAAATTCCACCGAGAGCCATTGACAACTGGAGAAATTCCCTGTGTGTATGTGAACATACTTGGCAATTAAACCTCATTCTAATTCTGTGCGTCTCAAGGATCTTCAACAAAAGTAAATATAAAAATATTGTCATTATCCACCAAACTGTGAAAAGGCAGCAAAGGACACATTCCTGCTTTTCATTTTTCAAAGGTTTTTATTCAACAGTCAAAGCTGCCCACAGCAATTCACAGAGGCACCTGTCAAAGGTATTATAGTAAACAGACCCTCATAACATAATGATTCAACCCCCAGGAATCAAGGAGTAGGTTAGTAGCCCCAGCCCCCCCCCCCCAGGTCTGGAATGGTATAGCCCACTGTGTCTGGAGATGCCTGAACCCTTCCTTCCTAGAGTAATATTAACAAACCATTTCCACCAGTGCTCCCAGTATATACTACCACCTCCCCCCCCCCCACTGTCCCCATTTTGTTCTTCATGGCGACGTAACATGATGTCACACATGCACACACACGCCATGCACCTAATGCTCCAACTACTCACTCTCACTGTTGCCATGGAAATACATCATTTGAACCCATACTGTGCTGGAAAGGCCTGTAGACTGTCCCACTCCTGCCTTCCGTCCCTGCCGAAATCCAGTTTCCCTGTCTCTCCCTAAAGCCACACTGTTTAACAAAAAAAAAAAAGAGAAAGAAAACTTTGTTCCCTGGCTCGATGGATGTTTTGGTACATTCCTGGAGTCAGATGTACAGGATATATAGAATAAACCTAAAACCACACTCTTAACAGGCCTAGAGATAACTCACTGCATCTTTGATCAGGTTAATTTCAGAAAAAGTATTACACAGGACTAAACAGCACACACACAAACACTGTAATCCAACTGATATTTATATATGTACACACACACACACACACACACACACACAGCAGCCACTGGTAAAGATCCCAGGAGCTAAAAATATAGGACTTAATACAATAAAACGAGATTTTGCATCAGGACCTCAGTACATGTGCTTCATTATATCTTGATACTTTGTGGCTTAAAAAAATTGCGAACCCCTTTGTTTCCCCGTCACACAGCCTTGGCATTGTTTCCGCCACGGCACACGCAGGAGTCCTCCAATAAAATGTTTAAAAATAGCTTTTCTGCAGCATGGCCTTGTTCCCGGGGTTGTGTGTGTGTGTGTGTGGGGGGGGGGGGGGAGACACATGCTCACAGGGCAGCGGGATTCTTTAAATTGAAAGGATGGCAGATTCCAATATTTCACACTGGAGTAAAAATCAACAGAACAGCACAGCTGCCTACAGCGTATATGGTTTCTGAGAGGCTTTGTCAGGACTGTCCGCAGGGATTAGCTGAACGGTTTAGTTGGTCTCGCTCAGCGCTAAAAATGCCCCTCAAACGTCCATCGACAGTATGGGCTACAGAAACATCAGCAGCAAGATCTCAACATCACGTCATCTAATGTGAGGGGGAACCAGGCCCATGCATCAGGGACTGAGACATTTACAGCATCGTGAGACTGATCCGCCCCCCCACCCCATGTAACGGCAGCAGATCAAGCCTCTCGCTGCACGAGTACAGGCACTGGGACCCGTCTATAGCCCTCTCGTTCTCTGAACATTTTTGACTACAACGCCAAACCTGCTTCTTTCCAGTCATTCCATACAATTTTGATGTTTCATCTGGGGGGGCAGGATCTCCTCAAGTCCCGGGTGGAACAGCCCCACCAAAGTGGCAGTGAGCTGTTCTATTGCATAAAAAGTTCGTTCAGACCTGAAGATGAATGTGCCTGTCCACACCTCCTCACTCTGGGGGGGGGGGGGGGGGGGCAGACCTGAAGATGAATGTGCCTGTCCACACCTCCTCACTCTGGGGGGGGGGGGGGGTGAGATCAGGAAGAGAGCTTCTTCTTGGGCAGGTAAGCACTGGTGATCTGGTTCATCACCACCAGGGCCGGGAAGAACGGCAGCAGCAGGAAGACGTACCAGGGCGGCCCGCGCACGGTGGCCTGGAACCAGTCGCTACAGACGGCCAGCACCACGGTGCCCGTCGACAGCAGGTAGGCCAGCAACCCGCAGGTGGCGTGGTAGAGCCGCAGGCGGGAGACGGCGGTTCCCAGGCGCAGACGCGGCGACAAGAGCAGCCCCACTCCACAGCCCGCCTGGAGCACGGTGGCCGCCAGCGTACTCGCACCCAGCCAGCCGTGCCAGGTGGTCAAGTGGGGGCGCTCCGACAGAGATTTACTGGCCACCATGAAGGCTAGGCCGCCGGCCCCGCCCGCCAGCACCAGGGCCTGCAGGAACCAGTGCATTCGCACCTTGGCCTGCCGGGACTTGAAGCAGAAGGGGGTGCACTCAGTGGAGAACAGAAGGATCCCCTCGGTCATACACAGGCAGAACTGCGTGGGAGAGAGGGCGTTCAGGCGCCTGGTCAGCAGGCAACTTATTCTCATCACTGTCATTATTTCTCTTTACAGCGCTTCTCTGTTTGTGCTCCTGGAACACGATGGATGCTCGCTCAGACACGTCATCGTTCAGCAATGCTGTCGGGTCAGAACGGCCTGTCACATACGCCTAGCCCCCCCCCGCTTACATCACTGCTAGTCTAATCAGTGCTTTGTGGCAACTATGACTGACAGGGACTGACATCCCTGTTATTGTCACACTCTGGTGTGTTTGGATGCCTCAATAAGTCAGCATAAATTACCCCCCCCCACCCCCCACCTTGCAGAGCTATGCAGGTTTGCTTGAATACTTACTGCTGCAGACATACACACGGGATGCCAGGAGAAAAGACCTGTAACATAAGACCAGGGTATTAAGCCAACAGAAACTCAGTAGGCATGCAATACACGCACACACACTCAACTTAAACCCTATCGCAAACAGCTAAGCACTGAGCTAGGGGGTCAGCTCTTCCGTTCGTGTTTTACCCAAATAAATTATATGGAAACTTTTTATTGAGTCTTTCAAATAGCCTGAAACGGTGAAGATGAAACTGCCAGCGGTGGGCGGGCGTCAGCCCATGGCTGCTCTTTGTTACTGCTTGGCACCGACGGTACCGAAGACGCTCGGCTCTCCCTGGGTATTTGTCTAAGCATTGTTCTGTCCTTTTCATCCTGGAACAAAATAGCTTTTGAAAGCCCCCTGGCCAATTAGCGTTGGTAAAAAAGATCGCCCACATTAGTCATAGTACTCTGAAAACTGCATAGAAATTATATTCCGGGTAAATCCAACAGGTTACTTCTATATTAAATGAGACTGATAATGGGTATTTTTAACTCGCATATTTTGATTAAAGAAATCCAATCTGCAATATGCGTCTGTTTTAGGCTATGGAAGCAATTAAGATAACTGACGTCGAAAAACGGGGAACACGGAAAGTCTGGGGAATGGATGTAAATTATGCAAACAAGAGCGATAAACAAGGACCGTTTGTGCACCTCAGGAAACACAGTGTGTTAACATATAAATAAGACCGACTACAAAAACAGTCAGGTCTCAAAGCATAATAACGTATTTATCTAGGGTTTTGTTAAATGCAAACAAACAAACTTACTTGTTCCTGGTCGGGACAGCAGAGACATAAGAATGGTAAGTCCCAAGGCGATAACGTGCGCTGCGATCACTGCAACCCGGCGCATCCACACATACAGCCAGTACTCCCTCATTCCCAGTCCCTCGCCCACTGGGCTGTATTCCACCTCCGACCGCATCCCGATGCTGCACCGCAACTGGCTATGTTATCGACCGAGGGTCGACCGGTACACACATGGCGACCGTCCCGAGGAGTGTCCTTGCCGTCTTCGCTTCTTGGATACGGGTAACCTCACATTACTAATGCATACGACATCGTCAAGCGTGACTAGGGCTCCGCGCTTATTGACAAGTAACTAAGCGTTGATACCAGCTGCGAGGGCTGCAATTTTAACGTCAAGCTTCGGAACCCCCCCTAAATTATTTATAAACAAACCGGAGAAGTGGCACGGAGTACACTCACAACACTTTTAGCTAGCATAAAACACTGATATGCCTATTTAAAAAAACTCATGCCAAAGCACCGGGATGAGAACATGCGCCTGTCCAGCCGCCCGTTCCATTCGCCGGTCTTTCACACGATCCTCTGCAGCGTGCCCACCTGCCGCAGGGAAATGCGGCACTTCCGGGATGCCATGTGACGCGGTATAAAGGACGGGCTGACGCCATACGTCGAACGAGGCGCCTAATGGCGACGCCGGCGTCTCTGTATGTCGCTTATCTGAAATTCCTGTTCAGGTCCGATTTCGTCCTACAAGTAATGGACACAACTCCACGTACACACCGCAGTGGTTTAAACTCTTACACTTTACGTATAGCAGACAAACAGCCACGATAGCCCCCAACCGCTGTAGGAATAGCGAATATTAACCCCATCAAATAGGAATATTATTTCGATATGAAAACGGGGTGTAATGTGAAAGAAGTGTACACCTGACAGCCATGTCACAATTCCTCATGGTGTCAGTCCGACAAGTTATTCCCATAAACGGCTCCATCAGTAAATACAGAAATATTTTATTTAACAAAAGACAAGTCAGAAAACATAACACATAACTCCTTAACCCAGGGATTGGTCCCACTGTAATTTTGCTTGAGATTTTACGTAGAGAAAGGCTGTGAGAGACTGTAGACATTGTCCATCCTTATTAAGAAATACCAGGAGGGGAAAAAATAATCCCCAAAGCAAAATTCAAATAAAAAAAAAAATTCAAAATTTATAATAAATGTCAAAGAGAAAAAGCTTGGGACTTCAAGTGTTAAGGAGGATTTAATCCATTTCCAGAAATCGGCTTCCGTTTAGCAGCATAACAGGTAATTTTCTGAGGTATTTCTATCATTTATACACAGGTCATTGAAAGTCCATTTGTTGTCTCTTCCCCTCTCTCTCTCTCACTCACACACACAGACACACACACACACACACACCCACACAAACGGGCTCCTCCGCTCCCTTCCAGCAGTCAGTGGCAGCAGACTCCCAAACGCTTCATTCCTTCTGGCTCACTGGACAGGCACTCTCAGTGGTGCAGTTTTGGCTGTTCAGACATGAAGGGGGTTGTCATGGTCAGTCAGAGTCTGGCTCACAAACACTGCTGTTCAGTCCTGACATTCAGGTGACAAAGACACACATTCCAACCGACTGGCAAAATATAACCCTATATGTGCATCCCTATAATTTATGCATTATTTATGAATGTTGATGCATAACTAAAACCATGGCACATGACTGTCTTACATCACCATGAAACCCAAGGTTGCAAACAGGGACGATCAGAAATGTTTCCGTCACACTAATGATATGACACATGCTTATAAATAAGGTATGAAGCTGTATGTTCCCTGAAAAATCAGAAATGCATTTTTCTTCCGCTATAAAGGATTTTATAATTTAGAATTTGGTGATCAGTGGTCATTGTTGACACACCACAGCACACGACAACAAAATGTGTCCTCTGCATTTAACCCGTATGTGACGTCGTGACATAGCAGGGGGCAGCTAATTCCGCGCCCGGGGAGCAGTGCTTGGGGGCGGTACCTTGCTGGTCGGGGATTCGAACCAGCAATCTTTCAATTATGAGTGCACCTCCCTAACCATTAAGCCACCACTGCACACAGACACCACATTTTGTGCAAAAAAAAAAAAAAGCTCAGCATCTATGAAGCATGATTGGTTTGTTCTACTCTGCATACTAGGTGCTGCGGCATATGGGTGAGAGTTTACAAGATATGGGCAGAATTTATTTAATGGTTTGACAAGAAAGTAGTTAACAGTTATTTGGGCACAGAACCTTAAAAAGGAGCCATGTGACTCCTTGAGCCAGATCATGGTCGGACAGCAAAAAGTAACCTGAAGACTGTAAAGGTGATGATACACAAGGCGACCTTTTAAGTGCCTGAGCAAAACCGCCCACCAACAGGGCTGAAAAAGGTACCCTGTGTATCATCAACTTAAGAGAACCAGAGTAGCGGTGAAGGTAATTAATACAGCTATATATCCAGCTACACAAAACCAGCTAAAAACTTCAAGAGCTTCAGATGAAAAATAATAAAATTAAATAATGTCCTCCCCTCCTGGAGGAACTGGGGGTTTGGGGCAACTGGGGCCCGCCCTAAAAACCCACCTTCTGCGCGCTGAGCTTGGGCTCCAGGTTCTTCCCCTCCTTTCTCCATGTGAAAAAGCCAGGATGTAGGGGGGCCGTGGGTGGGCGTGGGGCTTTGGACGGTGGGGGCAGTCCGGCCTTGCGCTTGCGGCCGGGGCCCTTGTGCTCGTGGCCGCTTGTCCTGCTGTGAAGGCCAGGGCCTCGGGGGGTGTGGTCAGGGGGCGGGGTTCGCTTTAATAACCCCAGGGAGGACGAATGGGGCTCTGCGGGTGTGGCCTGTGGGCGTGGCTTATTGCCCGGGGACAGCGTGCCATTGGCAAGTCCGTGTGTGGCATGGGTGGTCCGAGTGGGGTCGGGTGTCCTGCCCCGTTCCTGGAGCACACAGTTCCTGTCATTAGCTGGAGCGTGGTCTTCCTGCGGGGAAGCCCTCCTCTTGCGTTCTGCCTCCCGCTGCCGTCCCTGCTGCTTACTGGGCCGGCCCACAGGGTTTCGGGGACGGCTCAAGCCGGGGAGCGTCGTCTGAGAGCCGTGGGCGGGGCGGGGCGGCGTCACCACCTGGCTACTAGCGGGGGGCGTCCTGAGAGAGAGCGAGCTGGCAGCCAGCCCAGCTGCCGCGTTAGAGGTCACGCTCCGCTGGACCTGCGGCTCCGGCGTTTGAGGTATTTTCCTGCAAGGGGAGATGCTACCAGTCAGCCTCTGGGCAGCAAAAGTAAAGCGGCACAGTAACTTCCACATACAGCATCTGCAGTGACAGGAGATGACAGGGCCCCAGACATTCACCTCCACAGGGGGGCGCCGAGATGCTGCTCCACCATGGCACTGAGGGCCGACCGCAAGCGGAGGAGCCGCCGGTCAAAGGTGAACAGGCCCGGGCCGAGGGTGCGGCTTCCGAAAGTGCACAGCTGCCAGGGAGAGAGTGAGAGAACGTGAGTCTGAGGAAGGGGGGGGGGAGAGGGAGATTTAGAGAGAGAGAGGGGGAGTGGGAGAGAAAAAGAGAGAGACAGTGGGAGGGAGAGAGAGAGTGAGTGCGAGGAAGGGGGAGGGAGAGAGAGAGAGACAGTGAGAGGGAGAGCGAGAGAGTGAGAGGAAGGGAGAGATTGAGAGAGAGAGTGGGAGGGAGGGAGTGAGAGAGCCCTTATAGTAACCACCCAAATAACTGGCTCAGAAACTGGCTTGTGCCCCCAACAGGTTCCACAACCGGTAGGGTGGCATGTCTCAGTCCACGTGCCCCACCCTCATCACTGAGGCAGCAGGAGCAGCCCTGCTGAGTGCCAAGGTCAGGAATTCACAGAAGCATTCAGGAGGTTCTGTTAGCACAGACCTCATGCTCCTTAAGCGCTCCATTATGTTCTCCCCCTATCTGACCTAATTTATCAATCACTCATTTCACCTTGATGTGTTGGGGTGGGAAGAAGCACCTTTGTCACCCAAATATGACAGCATTGTGTTCCAAAACATACATCTAAATAAAACTGGGGTCGTCTTATATTTGTGGACTGGAATTGAAATGTCATGATATGCATTCAACAGTAGAGAACAGTACAGAAAACTGTAAAGCATTAGTGGCTGTTAAAGAGAGCAACTATCATTTTAAAAGTGCGGTCATCTCCTTTATTAAAATGACCCCCACTAAATGTGTTTCTCGCACTCTTTTTGTGGGTCTGCTGCATCGAAAATATTCTACATGCTCTAGGAGTTTGTAATATTGACTATCTATACTTCCCCCCCCTAAATAATACATTTGTTTACTGGAATGTTTGTTTATGGAATGTTTGTTTATGGAATGTTTAATACAATTATCGTAAATGCGATTTACTCTTACATGTTCCTGTCAAATAAAAGTATTTTTCTTTATAAAAATAAAGATTTGGGAGTCCAAAAACTATTTTCTAAAAATAGATGCTCAAAAATGTGCATGTGTGTGTGTGTGTGTGTGTGTGTGTGTGTGTGTGTGTGTTGGGGGGTCATCTTATAATCAGGGTCGTCTAATATTCGGGCCAAAATGTTACATATGCTGATGATCCAGGAACATGTCTCAGAACGGCCACTAGAGGCTGCTGTCCCCACCCTCCCCTTACAGAACAGCAGTGACAGTGAGGCTGTGTTGCAGTGCCCCTGCAGTTCCATACCCCGATAGGTTTTGGGTGCCAGGGCATGCCATGCCAATCAGGCAGCTCCTCCGTGCCCTCCCCTTCGCTGCCCTCGCTGGAGAGACGCCCGTGGGTCAGAGGTGAGACCGGGGGCTGGGCCTCCCTCTCCTCACAGCCAGGCCTGTCCTCTTCTGTGCCCCCCTCCCATAATGCCCTTGACCTGCCAGAACAGACAAGGCATCAGCAGTCTGATTCACGGGGCCCTGGAGTGCTCTGGGTGCAGCTAAACAGGTATGTCTGTTGTTTGAACTAGTTGGGCAATAAGGTCACGTGACCCCAGTTGGCAGGTCAGAGATGTCATCACGCACCTTAAAGGGGTGCAATCAGCGGGAGGCCTCCGACTGGGCTCCCCAGAGCTGTCGGAGCTCCCCGGTCCCTCCTCCGGCTCCTCCTTGGCTTGGACCGTCTGCTCGCGAGCCTTGGAGCTCATCTTTAGCTCTGCCACAAGCTGGTCGAAGTTCTTGCTCCTCCCCAGCACCTTACGGCGCTGGTGGATGGAGTGGATCTGACAGGGAAGGAGTGAGGACGGCAGAGATGAGAGGGAGAAACCACCTCAATTTTTTCCCGGTATTTTTTAGTGAACATGCCGATTTTTTTTTTTACGAGTTCATGAAGAAGGTAAAGTAAAATGCAACATTCAGACTCCTTTCAGGCCTCATTATTTATTTTTTTAGTATATTGTCCCTTAACCAGTGCACTACATACAGGCCCTCAGTTCAGCTGCAGGAACCCAGACAGAAATCGCATTACAAAGTGCTGACATAGCACACTGATCCCACCTACAGAAAAGCAGCTAAATCAGCTAACAGGATACAGGTTCCACTTCCTCTTCTGGGAATCCCTGCTTTGGGTCAAAGGTCAAAGTGCCTCAGGCTT